AGGGATATAAAGTTCTATGCACCTAAAGGAAAAAAGTACACACCACTATCCAATTCCTCCTCACCAATCTTCCAGTAAGACCACCAGCACTACACCTTTCTCTGTGCAAAGAGAAATGAAGCAGTCTGACAAATGAGGGAGAGACCAGCCTCTTCCACCATGGCAGTATATATCTTCTTCTGTGAACGCAAGACTCAGCTAAGTTTGCCGATGTGTAGTCCCAAGGATGAAGCTTGAGAGACAATCTAATCTTGGAGGTAGGGCAGATTTTGCCTGTGGAACACAAATGGCTGAGCAGGATTTTTATCCTACCTGGAAAGGTCAGGGACTGAAGTTGGGATATATACATGCAAAATATGTGTCTCTTTGCATAGGAAGAAAGCGTGTGAAAAAGAGCTTAATGTAAAGTTGAGAGAAGAGAACTATGGAATGCATTTATAGTAAAAGGCTTTCCTGAAGGCATATTGGACCCCAGTATTTTAAGATTTTTAAAGAGGCTGTCATAGCTTTATACAATGTTTTACCCCAAAAATTAAAAACAACCTTAAATTTCAGACAATCCCTGACAAAGAAGGATTAGATAGATATACATGCATGTGCACACACACAGAGATAAACCACATTTACACACCATTCAAGAGACAATGCAAAAGCTAAGAAGGAAAGAAAAAAGACCAGAACACATCCTTTCCAGCAGCCAACACTCAGATAAGCAGGATTAACACCATACAAACAATCAAGCAGAAAACAATACCCTAATCAAGGAATTACCAAGGAGAAAACCACACTCCCACCAAACTGGCAAGGCAAGCTACTGTATATAAACAGGGAGCAAACCCCACACTTAGTCGCACTGATGATGTTACCTAGTCGGGTAATGAACCGTCTGCAAGAGAACAACCAAGTTCAAAGAGCACCAAGAACTCCAGTCTGTGAAACAGCTAGTTTCCCCCAAAGAGTAGTACCAGAAAAAAGAGAAAATGAACATCAATTAGAGTAAATAAATCTCAAGGGTAAAAACCTCCATATTTTATATTAATTTGCATTATATTTGTGTAATTGTATGTTAGCCTGCATACATAACACATGTAAATTTAGTAATAATAATTTTATAATAATTTGGTCCCAACAACCTTAGCCTGCACCTTTGGGGTAGTATTGCTGATGGTATTTCATTTACCAAGTTATTCTAGCTTCTCCCAGTCCCACTGCATGTCTATCCTTTCATCATTCAGTGATCCTTTAATAATCTCCTCTTCTCCAATCCTTCAAGAGTTTAAATTCCTTTTCATAGTGCAACTTATCACCCTCAGCTGGAGCATCAATTATTCTTCCTTTCCCTCCCCAAACTGCCTCATTCAACACTAAACTACAAAATGAAACAGGCACCTTTACAGAGGCTAAGTCTACTCAAACAACTCCTTAGTTCTCAGTTAATTAACATTTTCACCCCATCAATAATTATTGGGGGGGGGGAAATCCCTCACCTACTTATCTGGTTAAGTAAATAAAATAAATAAATTATACCAAGTGCTGCAATTTGATGGGCTCAAATGCTCCAACCAAGCTATATTAATGATATGCCATCTGAATTTATTGTTGATTCACTTCCTAGATTAACTTAAATATTCCATTTTACCTTGCTTGGTTATTTGATAGTTATTTGATGAACCATCTACATCCATAGGAGCTATCAAGCCTTAAGCTCTGTCACAGAGACTGTCATTTGCATTATGAAGCAGACAGCAAGCCAAAGAAACATGATCTTTTAAGGGTTAGCCATATAATTATGGAAGTCCCTCCACAAGAAGTAAATTTAGCTTCCTCTTTGTTTGCTTTTAAAGGAATTTAAAAGATCCTTCGTTTAACTTAATTCATACTTTCTTGAAAAATTGAATTGTTTTAATTATTGCCTTCTGCTTTAAATTGTGATATAACTTTCATAGACTGATCAGAAATAATTTTACACAGCCACTTTAAATTACAGAATCACTTTAAAAAAATAATATTAATTGTAAGCTACCTTTGGTGTGAAAGGCAGCAGACAGGTTCCAAAATAAGTTTTGAATAGGATTTAGTTAATAGTTCACCAATGCATTTACGTCAAAGGCAGAACCAAGATTCTGAGCTTGGTAGGTTGTGTTGAGTATAAAAAATTAATGCATCCCTTCCTTCTGCAAGAGAAATAAAAAGGAATCACAGCTGTCTCTCACAGTAGAACAGGAATCACACTGGGAATATGGTTTATAGTTTGAATTACTGCATCTCTAATTGTAAAATAGAAGAAGGTAAAGAAAAAAGCAGGCAATATTATCAGGGGGTTAGGATAACTCCATAGGAGGAATGGTTAAAAAAATTGAGTGTTTTTCAAGCTTGGCAATTTTAAAATGTATAGACTTCAACTCCAGAATTCCCCAGCCAGCATGTATATGCTATGGATATAGTGGAGAATGGAGAAAAGGAGTTCATCTCTCTCGTAATACTGGAGCCTAGGATCATCCAGTGAGACTGAACAATGGAAGATTCAAGGCAAAAAAAAAAAAGAAAGTGAATCATGTTTCTTCTTGATTTGCAACTAGAAGACATTCTACTGGCAACAGCTTGCCATGATTTCCAAAGTGGATAAGCAAAAAACCACAATAGTTACTAGCCATAATGGCTATCTATATTCCTACATATGTCCATCTGTAACTCTTATTGGTACCTTTTTTGGTTACCACTAGAAAACCCATGGAGACAGCTAAAACGTAGCGATATGTAAACTTAAGTGATGTAATTAGAGCAGAGACAGATGCATACTTGAGTCCCCTGAACTACATGCAACCCCCTAAAATTGTTATTGTTTCTCCAAAGTTGCCAAGGGGAAATGCATTAAATACATGGGGAGCTATTACATTAAGTGAATTAAATTAAATTAAATCAAATGTAGTTTTTGTTTTGTCATCACCTACTTCTTTTCCTGACACCAACTACATTTTAAAGTGTGGCTCCTAGCAATCACTAAAGGATCTACTGTGGCTCTTGCCTGGGGAAAAAGTTGTGCAGGATGATTAGGGTGTTATATGAAGCCCATAAAAGTCTAAATTCAAATAATTACAGACAGGAAACTGAATTGATGACACTGGAATTAAGTTACTATATCCATTTTTTACAGAACTATTAAAACAAAGAGGATAGAATAAGTACATACCTCCAATCCAGTGATTTGGGGGAAAGGTTATATTTTATTTTATTATAGATTCTCTTGCAGGCAATTTGTACACTGATAGTGTTTCTTCCCAGTAATTTTATTGGTATGGAACATCAGACTAAACGGAACTGACCTACGTAAACCTCTCCAGAGGCCAGGCTGCCTTGAAATGGATGCAGATGAGCCATTCAGAGATGAAGTGGATACTTTCTAAGGGTTCCTGCCCTGAATAGTTTTTACTTGTTGGCTGCAGACATTAAAGTGTTGGCTGTGGGGCAGGGAAGAAGGAAAGATGCTGCCAAAAAGCTCAAAAGTTTTCTCCAAAAAGACGTTTAAAATCCTTTTCTGGCTTGAATTTGAAGCATTTGAGTTTTTCTGGAATGAGAGCTGAACTGTGAAAAGGTGGGGGTGGGGTGGGTAAAAAAGAGATCAAAGGAAGCCAAAAATGTAATACAGTGAATTGATTTTGGCAAGAGCATGCTGCACTGAAGATGTAAGCATGCTGCTTGATTCTGTTGAAATCCAGCCAACCACCCAGATGCCTTCACAAATTCAAACTACATTTAGAAACAGAGGAAAAAGTGAGGAACATCTTCATTCAGTTCAGTCACTTTAATCAATCTCTTTTAGTTTTCAGGAAACATCTTCTCCCCTATAATTCCCCACCAGAGCATTTAAGAGATACAATGGCACCTCTTATTGGAGGGTGGCAAGGCCCATTTTTACAATTTCAATTTTCTTAAAGGCTCACACATGCAGGTTGTCTTAGACTTCTCCTTGCTGTCTTTCTGCAGGTAGTTCAGAACTTCTTTTTCTCAACTTGCCTTTCACATTTGAGCCTCTATGCTTAGGTTTCAAGTATTCGGGCTTTCTGAAGGTGGCATATGCATTTAAATGACAACAACAAGCCCCTTGTAACTAAAATATGTTATTAGCCTGGTTGATTGGGGAAATATGGATACAGCATATCTTGGCTTTAGCAAAGCTTTTGACAAAGTCTCTCATGGTATCCTTATTAAGAAAATGGTCAAATATGGGCTTGACAGCTCTACATTTGGCTCAAGGATCATACTCAAAGGGTAGTTATAAATGGTGTCAAATCTACCTGGAGAGACATCTCAAGTGGGATATCACATGGTTCTGTCCTGGACCTGATGCTGTTCAACATTTTTATGAATGATGTGGATGAAGGAGTTGAAGAAATGCTTACCAAACTTGCAGATGATACAAAACTAGGAGAGGTTCCTAATACTTGGGAGGAGAGGGGGAAAAAAATTAAAAATTTACATGCTAGAATAGTGATTGGAAACAAATAGAATGAAATTTAACATGAAGAAACATAAAGTCATGCATCTTGGTAAGTTAAATGAAAGAAATATGTACAGTATGGGAAAAAATCTGGCTCAAGAACAGCACATGTGAGAAGGACTTGGCAATACGAGTGGATCACAAGCTCAACATGTCCCCACAGTGGTAATGCAGCTGTCAAGAAGGACAACAACAATGGCACAGAGTCCAGACTGTGGGAAGTAATTATCCTGTTCTA